TGCACTTGTGTCACAGACAGAACTTTGGAACTAAACTATTGACATTTGCATTCAACAGAATTTCATTTTATCTTAAAGTCACTTTTCCTTTTGAATGGAAAGTATAAGCATCTAACACATGCTGTGCAGCCCATCTTTGTCAACTTTAAGAACACTTCCCTTCATTTTTTAAAGTTATGCAATCTTAAATAAAACTATAATATGCTTGATTGGAGATTTAAAAGACTGAACTAGAATCTTTTTTCAATCTTCTACAATACATTGAGGGTATTATACAGGGCTTGAAGACAACTCCACTTGTGCAGCAAGCCTTTTCCCCTTATTAAAGCCTCTTGCATGGCTCCTGCGGGTGGGAGAATCAAGTGAGGGAGTGGTACCTTGCAGAAGCAGAAGCACTTTTCTGTTTACACATAGCAGCTTTTAAGAATGAAGATATGATTGATGCAGAGGTACATAAACATTAAGGGCATGCACTTCAGAATTATTTTGCTTATCCATAAAAATTAACCATAAAAAGTTGGGTTCTCAGCATATGGAAAAAGGGTCTGCTTTTTCACGACCACTTCGGAGAAATCATCCCAACCATATAATTATCCAAATACTACATTGGTGAGAACTACCAGAAGTTCATTCAGTTTCCTATGTCATCACCTATCTCACTTTTACCCCTTCCCTTAAAGCTATTTCCACCATTTTCTGTTCCTACAGTTACAACTAGTGCAATATTTCTGGAATCAAAAGTTTGTCTAATCAACAGAACCTAAATAATTTCTGAGTAAAGATGCAACCAATGAGGTCGGTCTCAGCGGGAGCTATTAGCTGTCTGTGGACAGAACCCAACCATAAGCTTTCTCATTTCCCTCAGGTATAAATTACAGGGTTATTTTCAAAAGGCATTGACATTAACTGAAATTGGCATTGACATGATCCCTATCACTGGATAGTTTGTTATTTCTGCCTGCTATTTTCAAAGGAGGCACAAGCATGAGAATCATATGAATTACACATTTGGATGAAGTGCAAAGAAGGATTAACAGATTTTCAGATGACACAGAACTGGGCGGGATAGCCAATACCCTGGAAAGCAGAAACAAAATTCAAGGTGATCTTGCAAAATTGGAGTGCTAGGCTGAAAACAACAAAATGAAACTCAGTTGGGACATATGCCAAGTTTTGCACTTAGGAAAAAGATGCCAAATACCTTGTTAGGATGGGGAATGCTTGGCTCAACAATTACTGCAAGTGAGGAGGATCTTGGAATTGCTGTAGATCATAAGCTGAATATGAGTCAACAGTGTGATGTGACTGCAAAATGGGCAAGTGCAATTTTGTTGTTACTTGCAAAGTTGTGTCCAACCCATCGCGACCCCATGGACAACATTCCCCCAGGCTCTCCTGACCACCATCCCTCGGAGTCCACCCAAGCTCACACCCACTGCCCCAGCCACCTCATCCTCAGCTGCCCCCTTCCCCTTTTGCTGTCAATCGTTTCCAGCATAAGGGACTTCTCCAATGAGTTGTTCCTTCTCATTTTAAAAGAATTATTTATTCCAGATCACATGAAGTACTAGTGCCCCTTTATCCAGCACTGGTTAGACCTCATCTAGAGTAGTTTGTCTAGTTCTGGGGACCACAGTTTAAGAAAGATGTGGACAAGCTGGAAAGGTTTCAGAGGAGGGCAACAAGGATGACCCAAGGACTAGAAACAAGACCTACATGGAAAGATTTAAAGAACTGGGCTTGTTTAGCCTCAGGAAGGCTGAGGGGAGATATAATAGCACTCCACAAGTACTTGAAAGGCTGTCACAAAGAAGGCCACAATCTCTTCTTGACCATCCCAGAATGCAGGACACAGAATAATGGGATCAAGTTACAGAAAGACATTTCAGCTAGTTATCAGGAAAAAAATTCTGGATTGTTGGAGCAGTACCCATGACCTAGGAGGAACCCATGACGTAGGGAGGTTGTGGGCTAGAAATATTCAAAATGCAACTGGACAACCAGCCAAGAGGGATGGTTTAACTTGGAGTCCTGTACTAAGCAGGAGGTTAGACTCAATGGCCTTCTGGCACCTTCCATCTCTACTATTTTATAATTCTAAGTCTAACCTGAATAGACCCTTTGCTCCTTAAAGTTAAAAGACAAAGTAATTTTTTGTGAGCCGCCTAGAGGCTTTGTTGCGATGGGGGTGGCATAGAAATGTTTTAAATAAAATAAATAAATCAATAAATAAATCCTGTCTTCTGAGACAGAGTTTAGGATCACTCTACTTCAAGCACTTGGAAATTGGAATGCAGTTGACCCTGGGTTTTAGGAACTGCCTGCTCTTCTTCTAGCCTATGACTATATAAAAATGAGTTTGTCAAGAAGCTGGAAGGGGTATACTTGGTTTGGGGTGCATGGTTTACAGGGTACAGGAGGGCTGGAATATCTGGTAATAGGGGGAGTACTTTAAACAGGCTAGGTTGCTTCTCAACCCGTTACCTGGATTCACATGAAACAAGCTGTGTACTGCACCCCGATAAATTAAGGCAGGGAAAGCGATCATATAATCCAAACTTGTTTGATTAAAAGTAACTTTATAAATATTGTAATTGTCTTCTGTTAAGATAAATACTGCCACGATAATAGGTAGGTAGCCTGGACCTGTTTGCCAGCTCTTTCCAGTCCCAAATTCCATTCCTGGTAAGAAACAAAAGTCAGAACTGACTCCACAGAAGTGCTTCCTGGAGAAGCAGTGTTGAGATATTGAGGTACCAGGGAGATACCCATTTTAGGAGGTTTGATGAGGGAGCGGGGCTGCAGCAGAAAGCAACATGCTGCTTCCAAATACCTTGCATGAGGAAAGGGAACACAGAAGGAGGCAGAAAGTAGGGCTGAAGGGAAGCTGGAATAGTTCCAATAGGGGCTATAAATAGAAGAATCAGAAGTTAAGGGAAGACAGATGGAGATAGGCTTGTCCAAAGGAAAGGCAACAAGACCGAAAAGACCGAAATCTATTTTCCAGTACTTTTAGCTTAGGACAGAAGGATCTGAGGCTCTCCCGATGTTGAACAGCAACCATCGCCCATCACAATTGGCTATGCTGGATACAGAAGCTGAAAGGGGGCGGGACTGAAACTTTATTTGCAACACAACAGCAAACAAAGGGGCACCATTAAACTGTGTGTTGACATCTCCCATACGACAGAATGAACACTTTTCTCTGCACACGGCAGAGACCTCTTTCATGTGTTTGAGAAAACTTTTCAAAGGTCAGATTCGCACATGTCCACCAAGGCAATGCTCTAAGAACTAATGAAATTGATAACATGAAGAAGAGTCCCGGGATAACTGAAGCTGCATTCTTAGCCACACACGCTCAACGAAAGTAGTTCCATTGAGTTCAATGGAATTGACGTCCGAGTAAGCATGCTGGGGGCTTGATCCCTCCCCAGGCGCGCACAGCTATGGCTTCTAAGTAGTACGATTTGGCATAGGTAGCATTCAAAAGTGAGCGCCCCTATGCTTAGGAAGGCTACCTGTCAACCGCGCGCAGAGTTGCAATCTGACTTAGGTGAACGGGACTGACAGAAACTGCAGCTTCGCTTTTCAGAAAGCCCCTACAGAAGATCGCGGAGATTTCAGGGGGGAGCAGGGAAGAGAGCACACTTCTCTTCCCCGGAACCGGAGGCGGGCTTCGGGTAGTGACGGGGAACGGCAAGCCCTATTGGCAAGGAAGAGGCGGAGGCGGAGCCGCACCGCGGAGAGCTTGCCTAGTTGCCTGCCGCTCTGGGCCGCACGGCGAGGAGGCCGAAGGGGCCATGAGGGGCTGCGGACGGAGCTGGCTGTGGGGGGCAAGGCGGCTGGGGGTCCCCTGCGGCGGTGTGGTGCGAAGCGGGTCGGTTTGCCGCGGCGCGCATAGTCTGCGGGCGCTTCCCGGTAAGTAACTGACCTTTGCGCGCTGCCCTTCGCCCGCCCGCAAACGAACTGGGCGGCCCTGTGGTTTCCTGCCGCTTCCAGCCTTTGGGTCCTGCATCCTTCAGGCGGCTTCCGCACATGGAGCCGAGCCTTATTTTCATCATTATTGCCATTATTATGTCAACAGCTGCTTTCAGTTAGTATGGCTCAGCCCTCTCCAACCTGGTGTGCTGCAGGTGTTTTGGACGTCAACTCCTTGCATTTTCAGCTCAGCCAGCATGGCGAGGAGTAAGGCATGCCGAGAGCGCATTTCCAAAATGTGCGGACGGCAACCTGGAAGGAGGCAATATGGCAACAAGTGCGGTTTTCCCTTGCCCCTTCAAATGCATATTTTGAAGGATGGCAGTGATCTTAAATCGCTTAGTTGAGTTTAAGGGATGGTTCCCTGGGTACAAGTTCTTCGGTATAACGTGAAGCTGCCCCTGATGCATTTCTGCCTGGTGAGCTCTCTCTGTCCACTTTTCAGAATTGCATTCCTAGACGAAGGTTAACCAAATTCAGCCTTTTCTCCATGCCTTTGGCTAATCGTCTTAATTAGCCCCCTCTATATTCCATTCGCTGTTGTGCCTTTTAGAATTTAGGAAAAGGAAAAATATGCTGGAGCCATCCTTCTCAAAGTACGCCAAATGCCTGCCTGTCCCTCAAGTATGTTAAGTATTTTAGGTGGCAAACTGTGCCGGCAGCATTTGTAACCTTAGATTGATAATTAAGTTGTGGATATTTTAAAGAAGTGAATATAAAGTGTGCACCGTCAAGATATTCATACGAATTATTACTGTAGCTCTAGCCTATTAAAGGCAGTGTGTCATTAATTGCAGTTTTAACAATGGGTGTTCTGGAATGACTTTAAATGTTGTTTTTACTACTTCTTGCACTTATATACCACACACTTAGTCAGAAGGCTCTCTGGGTGCTTTACAGTGTTCTAACTGTTGGACCCAGTGGTGGATTTCAAAACTTGTAGTGTTAAAATAATTGCTTTTTCTTATTTTTTCAGGCAATCACTGTGATCAGCATCCTCAAATGACCCTGGAGCCTTTCCTTAACAAATGTAAAATCCAATTAAAATGTAGTTCATTTATCAGTTTGCCTGAAGGAAAGAAGAAAATGTAAGTACTGTTGTTACTGATAACCATAAGACAATAGCCATCATATGATGGAAAAAATGAGCTTCATGATCCATATCAGTATTGTGACAACTCGAGTCAACATGTATGATCTGACTTTTTGCTTTATTATGGTTTTCATAATAAGGGGAAGAAATGCATATAGTGACAGATCTTATTTTCTTGGACTCCAAGAGCACTGCAGATTAAAAGACACTTGCTCCTTGGGAGGAAAGCGATGGCATATCTGGACAGCATACTAAAAAGCAGAGATATCAAAACTATGGTTTGCCCAGTTGTAATGTATGGCTGTGAGAGCTGGACCATAAGGAAGGCTGACACTTTTGAACTGTGGTGTTGGAGAAGACTCCTGAGAGTCCCTTGGACTACAAGGAGATAAAATCAGTCAATCCTAAAGGAAATCAACCTGAATGTTCTCTAGAAGGACAGATACTGAGGCTAAAGCTCAAATACTTTGGCCACCTAATGAGAAGGAAGGACTCAGTGGAAAAGACCCTGATGCTGGGAATGATTGAAGGCAAAAGCAGAAGAGGAAAGCAGAGGATGAGGTGGCAGGATGGGGTCACGGGTTGGGTGGACTCCGGGGGATGGTGGAAGACAGGAGTGTTGTGGTCCATGAGGTCATAGAAGGCTGGACACAACTTTGTGACTAAACACACACACGCAACACATGGTTTTCATGCATTCTCTAATAAGTAATTCACAGTAAAGTGAACTATTACTCATTTGGAACTTGGCTTTCAAGTTATAGTATCATATAGGCCTTTTATATGATTGGCAGGACATTGCTGCTGCCCTGCCAGTCTCAATTTATGATCAGTGTTACAACTGATCTCCCAGTGTTTTTACTCAAAAGAAAACAAAGGGCCTATTTGTATGTCAGTAAAATGTAACTAGGCAAATGTAACTAGGCACACTAGGCATTCCATCTTTGGGCCTATTTCACTTCTATGCATTGGATGTATTTATAACTTGTGTACTTTCAGATCTGGTAACTTGTAATCCCTTAACACAAACTATTAAGTCTGTGCATTACTGAGTCCTAGATTTTATGAGCACAAATGTAAGAAGTGCTCCACTGGACCTGAGTAAGGTTCATCTAATGCACTGATGGCCAAACCAAGCTACTTGTGGCTCTGAATTTATTTTGTGGATTGCCACTTGCCGCCTGTGAGCACCCGTGGGCACCCGCTTCCTGCTTGCTACCCACCACCACCACCCGTGGGCACCTGTTTCCCACTGGCCTCTCATTGCTCCTGCCACTGCTGCCCACGGGTGCCTGCTTGCGGCTTTCAAAATCTGACATTTACTGTACATTGTCTCTTCTGTTGAGCATCTGGCCACCCTGATCTAATCCAACAGTAGCTAGCCAAGTGTTTCTGTGAAGTCCACAAGTAGCATACATAGATCATCTTTCTTTATAGTCTACTAATTGCTATTTAGAACTGTCCTGACAGTTTCCTGAACATGCATTTATAAATTTGTAATGTATAATGAATATCTAAGTGTATAATGGATTGACAAGTTTATAGCTCATAATTAATGAGTGTATACTTTCATATTTAGCTTAGTAGTCCTCCCTCTGTCTCTTTCTTTTTTTTAAACCAAAAGCCCCTAAATGCTTCAGCCTTCCTCATGTGCATGCTATGGCCAATGGATGGAGGAGATGAACAGCCAGGTGGAATCTGCCTACCATATGGATAATCTCACTTTGGAAAACTATGCTTAAGGAGTGAAGTGACTGAAAACCATACATGGGTTTGCCAAGTTCAGTTTTCCCCAAATCAAACCTTTTGTGTACATAATTTTTGCCTAGCTGATTCTAGTTGTTTTTTAGACCATCTGATATAATAAAGTTTTTGATGTTTAGGTCACTCCCAGGACAACCATACAGTACTTGGCAAACAACAGTGGACCCAAAAGAAATAAGAAAATTCCAAGTATTGGCACAAAAATGGTGGGATGAGGATGGACAATATGCAGCCCTTCATTCTATGAATGAAATTAGAGTGCCTTTTATTAGGTGAGTTTGTAAAATGTGCCAGTCTTTACATTCATCTGGCATTAATATGAAAATAAAATGTCAAATGTTGCAATTGAAGCATAACTTTACTACAGTGGTTTAGTGTAAATGCTTAATGGGGACAAAGCTAATGGAAGCAGTGTTATGGGTAGAATAAACCAACTTCCAACAGGGTTTATTCACAGGTAAATTTACATAAGTCTGAGGCCTTTGTTGGACCAAGTTTGCGCAGGGTATATTTTCATCAATGGAAGCTATGAGATAGGGGCATATTTTCTTTTCAGTCAGTATTGGTTCTTCGTCGTGGCCTCTGTGCATCATACATATGGGTGCTGCGCCTGCACAGTGTGTTTGGCTGGAAATTACAAGCTTAACGGTTTTTTTGGCGGGAAAGGTCCGTTCCCCCTCCCCCACAACCTATAAAGAGCGGAGCGTCTGCCATTTTGTTCAGTCTTTGCGACCGCCGTTCACTGTGCCTCGTGCCGCTTTCGACTATCGCTTTGATCGTTACTCGTAGCCTATTTTCCTCTTCTTTTTTAAACTCCCAGTTTTATATCCCTGTTAGTTCTTGTTATCTCTATAGTTCTATCGTTCTACCGTTCTACCTTCTTCTATAAAAAAAACCAAAACCAAAAATATATTCTTACCCTCTGCACTGTCTTCTTTTTTCCTTTTCTTGCGATGGCGCAGCGAGCGGCTTTCCGCAAATGTGCGGAATGCGGGTCGAAGATGTCTCCATCTGACCCGCACGACCTATGCCTCCTCTGCTTGGGGGAGGGGCATAGGACCGACAAGTGCTCCCACTGCCTGGCCTTCTCTAAGCAGGCCAGGAAAAATCAGGAGAACCGCCTCTGGAGGCTCCTGTGGGATCGGGCTCTTATGTAGTCTGACCCACTCGTCACCGCTCCAAAGCCTAGCCCGGCTACGGTGGTCCCGCCCTCACGCCCGTCAGACGAAGGTCCCTCTACCTTGAGGGCCCCACCCGCTTCTTCCAAAAAGAAACGTGAGAAGCGCAAGCATGCTGAAGCTGATAAATCAGCTAAGAAGGCCAGGAAAGAGAAGCCTCCTAAACCGACCCAGTAGTCGAGGAATCCGGAGCGGCCACGACACCGCGACTTGGGTTCGACGGCAGCGTCAGTACCGGCGGCAACCACCGTACCGACCCCACCCGAGCCGGTACTCCAGGCAGCCTTGAAGGTCACCCCTCAAGGGTCTCCTTGTCGTGTGGCTGACCTCCCTACCGAGCAGCTTCCACCTCTTCAGCGGGGGTCGATCGCTGATGGGGGAATTCAAGACTCTCCCCCCCCAGCTCTAGGTCACCCACGCCTATGCCCATGGCCACGATGGAGGCGGATGTGGTCGGATCCCCCCCCCCCCAGGGCCTGCCGGAGTCGCTCCAGGGAGCAGCGATCCAAGAACTGGCGTTGCTCCAACTATCCATCCTGGGGCGAGCCATACTCAACTGGGTACTATCCCACACCGAGGGATCGGTCCCCACCACGCTCTCGCGATCGCCCTCTGCTGCTGGATCCGAGGCGCACATCCCCGGTTCCCCGGGAGGAAAGCAGCCGGTCTGTTTCGCCAGTGGAGTCCCCTTCTTCGGCCCCTCTGTATTATGGCGCGGACTCCGATGACTCGGACGTCGATTCCACCTCTCCCGACGTTGCGGTGACCTCCCAGGGCCCTGCGTCACCGGACGTGTCCTATGTCTCTTTTGCAGAGCTGATGTCCAGGCTCGTCCAATCCCTGGATATCGACGCCGTCCAGCGCTCAGGACCGTTGACAGATAAATTTTATGACGTCGTCCGCGGGGAGCAGTCCACCTCCATCGTCCTGCCCCTGATCACCACCCTCCAGCAGGCGATGACACAGCCCTGGGACTTGCCCTCTCACCCTCAACCAACATCGCGGAGGTACGAAGCCATGTACCGGGTTCGGGAGGAGGACATACCATTCCTCCTACGACACCCCAAGCCAAACTCGGTCATGGTGGAGTCCTCCCAGGGAAGAGGCAAGAGGCCACACCACTCCGCGAGACAAGGAAGGCCGCAAGATCGACTCCCTGGCCAGGAGGGTCTACGCAGCTTCAGGCTTGGGGCTGCGTATCTCGAACTACGAGGTGATGTTGGCGAGATACCAGTATTTTATAATGCAACGCCTCCACAACGTCGTCTCGGCCCTCCCAGACCAACAAAGCGACTTGGCCAAAGTGCTAAGTAAGGAGGCGATGCACGTCGCAGTCCAACAGCTGTCCACAGCCAGGCACCATGTGGACACCAACTCAAGGGCCTTGGTCGGTGCCATCTCTCTTCGTAGGCATGCGTGGCTGAGGAGCGCCAACTTCCCCGAAGAGACCAAGCGGCATATCAAGGAAATGCCCTTTGACGGGTCTGGACTTTTCCATTCAAAGACGGACCATAAACTCAAAAAACTTCATAAGTCCCGCATGACGGCCCGACGGATGGAGCTCCAGTCGCAACCGAGGCGTAAGTGGGCATGGAACCGTCCGCTCAACAGACAGCCTTACCATTCCAGGCAACAGCCTCAGCACAGGCAGCAGCAACAGCAACACCACCGACAACAGCCCCAACAACGCTACCAACAGGGCCGCCGCTGATATGACGACAGGAGGCAGCGTTGACAGGACTGGCGAACCATTCCTCTACCCTATCCTATACCCACTCCCCTCTCATCTGGGGACCGGCTGCGAAGCAGACTCCCCATTTGGGAGTCCATCACATCTGATCGGTGTGTATTGTCTATCTTACAGCATGGCTATAGGATAGAATTCGATACCATTCCTCCATTGAGTCCGACCCAGTTTACATCTTGCTCACCAGTACTGCTCGATGAAATACAACAACTTCTTCATAAAGGAGCGATTCGTCAAGTAACTCAATATGACGGCCTTCACGGATTCTATTCTAGATATTTTACAGTTCCCAAACGCGATGGTGGCCTACGTCCGATTTTAGACTTACGTAGTCTGAATCGATTCATCGTGACGAAGTTTCGAATGACCACCCTCCAAAATATTTTGCCGCTGCTTAGAAAAGAGGATTGGTTCGCCTCATTGGACTTGAAGGACGCCTATTTCCATATTGCAATCCATCCCAAATATAGGCGTTTCCTTCACTTTGCTGTTGCCTCCAATTTCTACGAATTCATGGTTCTACCCTTCGGTTTGGCCACCGCTCCGAGAGTGTTTACTAAATGCATGGCCCCTGTCTATGCTTACCTATGCCTCCAGGGCATACAAGTTTACCCTTACCTTGATGACTGGCTCCTAGTCTCCAGGTCCAGGGAAGCGCTTCTCACTTCTATCCGTATTATCTGCGCCTTATTGGACGACCTGGGCCTTTGCATTAATACTGAGAAATCTTCTCTCCTTCCGGTACAGAAGCTTACGTTCATCGGAGCCCACTTGGATTCGACGTTGGAAAAGGCATTCCTCCCTCGGGACAGACAACTGACTCTCGCTCGCCATGTTCATCGAATGCGACGAGACAGATCGGTTCCGGCGAAGGCCATCCAGAGGCTTCTAGGACATATGGCTTCTGCCGTTGCAGTGGTGCCACACGCCAGACTGTGACTCCGTCCTTTGCAGCTATTTTTCAACAAAGCGTTCCACCCACAGAGAGACCCACCGTCGAAACTGCTTTGATTCCCATCCTCGATACTCCATTCCCTACTATGGTGGTCGGTCCCGGACAATCTGACTGCTGGGATCCCCTTCAGGCCCCAAGGCCCATCAATAACAGTTGGTACCGACGCGTCTCTTCTGGGCTGGGGAGCGGTATGCTCCAGCCTGTATACTCAGGGCACGTGGACTTGTCAGGAATCCACGAATCATATCAACTTCTTGGAATTGTTGGCCGTATTCAAAGCCCTATGCTCTTTCGAAGATGTTCTTTAACATCGGGTTGTTCAGATAACATTGGACAACATAGCCACCGTTTTTTATCTGAACAAGCAAGGTGGGACAAAGTCTCCGACCCTGGCCAGACTTTCTATGCAGATCTGGGACTGGTGCATTTCGAGAGACATTACGATAATAGCAGTCCATCTGGCCGGTACGGACAACGTGGAAGCAGACCTTCTCAGCAGGCGCATGCTCATCTCTCATGAATGGGAACTAGACCCCCACACACGTGAGGACCTTTTTCATCGCTGGGGGTTTCCCGACGTGGACTTGTTCGCCACCCAACAGAACAAGGTGTGTGTGACTTTCTGTTCAAGAGCGGGAATCGGGTACGAATCCCTAGGGGACGCCTTCATGATTCCATGGAACAACCTGAATTTCTACGCCTTCCCACCGATTCCTCTGGTGATGAGAGTCATAGTGAAGGTTGTTTGCAATTGGGCCACAGGGATACTAATTACTCCTTGGTGGCCATGCCAACCTTGGTTTCCCACACTGCTGGACATTTCTCACAGGGAATACCTTCATCTTCCACCACTCCCGTACCTGATAACCCAGCAGGACGGTGCAGTTCGCCACCCAGATATATTATCATTGAAACTAACAGCGTGGCAAATCCGATAGCTGACTTCGTTACGTCTACACCGACGACTACTTCAAGTGGTTTGAATCCTACCTTCAAATCCACTACAGTTGCAACCTTCGAATCTGCTGGAGGCGGCGCTGCTCCAGCACTGTCGGACCCAACTATTGTGCCATCGAATCTGACAGCCTTTCATCCGGACATTCAATACATATTGGACTCTGCTTTAAAGCCTTCTACACGGAAGTCTTATGCAGCTAAATGGAAGCGTTTCTCCACCTTTGCCGACTCTCGTTCATTCTCTCCATTTACATCATCGATACATCAAATTCTTCAGTTCCTCTTAGAACTACACCACTCTGGACTGAAACCATCTTCGATTAAAGTGTATATGGCAGCGATCGCCTATCATTGTGGTATGGTGGACGGCTCGTCCATTTTCTCTCAACGTACTATTAAAAGGTTTCTGAAGGAACTTTATAATCTGAACCTGTCGATCAGACCAATAATGCCCACCTGGAGTCTCTCTGTTGCTCTGCAAGCACTTATGAGAGCTCCTTTCGAACCTTTGGCAACAATCGATTTATGTCTTGTCTCGTGGAAAATAGCATTCCTAGTTGCGGTTACCTCAGCCCGGAGGGCCAGCAAGCTCTGCGCTCTACGCGTAGACCCACCTTATCTCAATTTTCATAGAGAAAAGGTTGTCCTGCGGCTCGATCCATCTTTTCTGCCTAAGGTGTCCACACCCTTTCATATGGGACAAGATATTATTTTACCTGCCTTTTTTCCGGCTCTGTCTACTCCGTTAGAAAGGTCATTACATTCACTTGACGTTCGGTGCTGTTTAGCCTTCTACAGATCCAGGACGGAATCTATTCGACGTTCACATAGACTTTTCGTTAAATATGCTACCAGGGACCAAGGCACCCCTGTCACTTCGCAGAGACTTTCTAAGTGGATAGTTCGTACTATCACTTTGTCTTACCAACTGGCTAACATTGACTTACCCACAGCCCCTCGAGGCCATTCGACTAGGGCTGTGGCTGCCTCATCTGCCTTCGCATCGGGAATACCGATTGACGATGTATGTAGAGCTGCTACTTGGGCGAATCCTTGCACTTTTGCCAAGCCGTGCTCGGCAGGATTGTTCCTTCGGCAGATCCGTTCTTTCATCCGTTCTTCGCTGAGGACACCTCCCCTCCTCCATTATGGTAAGCTTGTTAATCTACCCATATGTGTGATGCACAGAGGCCACGACGAAGAAAAGCAGGTTGCTTACCTGTAACTGATGTTCTCCGAGTGGCCATCTGTGCAGTCACACAACCCACCCGCTGGCCCAGCTCGGTGTTGGTGAGTGGACCTTTCGTCAGTACCGAATGTTATCATTATCTCTTGGTACCAATATTGTTCGTTGTTTTTCTTGGTACCGATACTGCTCATGGAAGAACTAATTTTTTCCACAAGAGGGCGTCCGTCCGGTCGTCAAAGACTGAACAAAATGGCGGACGCTCCGCTCTTTATAGGCTGTGGGGGAGGGGGAGCGGACCTTTCCCGCCAAAAAAACTGTTAGCTTGTACTCTCCGGCCAAAGGCACTGCGCAGGCGCAGCACCCATATGTGTGACTGCACAGATGGCCACTCGAAGAACATCAGTTACAGGTAAGCAACCTGCTTTTCTGGCTTGTGTATCCTTATTTTCATGCATGTGTGGACTTACATGTGTATGTATATAATGATTAATATGAGTATGGGGGGACGGACAACAGATACGGTATGCAAATAGTAGATTTATCCTCTACACTTGAGCAAAATGGGTAACCGCTGTTTCCACAATGGGGAAGTAATCTCAGACAGTCACTGAAGTCCAAAACTTGGACTTTCTTCTGAACTCAACTTTAACCTGTATGCAAGTATTAGGCAATGAAAAGAAAGAAAATATCCTCCTAAAGACAAACAGTAGCCTTTTAAAAAAGTAAACTAAGTTTTCATACTTCATTCAGGATCTCAAAAAAGCAAATGTGTGAGGATTTTTTGGTAACATGCTAATATATTTAAATGTAGTTATCAATGGCACATATACTGAATAATCTTAATTAAAACTATTTTTTTACCATTTGTGTAAGGGATACGGTTTTAAATTTACAAAATGACCATCGGCTAGGAAGCCCTCTCTCTGGGGTGAAGATCCTGGATGTTGGCTGTGGTGGTGGATTACTTGCTGAGGTAGGGATTGTAGTTTTAATGATTAATACTCTGAATCCTAGCATGTATTTTTAGAAAGTGCACTGTGCTTATTTATTTATTTATTATTAATTATTAAAACATTTTTATGCTGCCTTGGGGCAGCTTACAACAATATTTAATTATTCAAAAGACTGATTTAGCAAGGAATGTCCATTAATTTTGTTGTAATCTTATTTTCTGCAGTGAATAGTGGCATTATTCCAGGGTGGATTAAAAAAATCAATGATTTTAAAAAATTAAATCATTTTTAAAGTTTTATTTGGATTTTTCATTTAAATTGGATGTTTTCTAATAATTTCATTTAAATTGGATGTTTTCTTTTTGATGAAAAATTATCTAGTTTTCTGTTTAAGATACATTATAGTCCAAGGGTTATTCATCATTAAATAAGCATTAGTTTTTAATTATGCAGCATGAGGCTGTATATTCATACAGTGTTTAAATCTGTTGGTAAATGAATGCCATTAATCCATTCACAATGTCATGCTCTTCTAGAAGTTTCCATAAGGTTATTGGACAGTTTTTCTATCTGGAAGATATTCTCAGAGATGCTTGGTTTTATAGTTTTCAAAAATGAATTTGCTTCTGCAAAGATTACATGCCTCTTCACAGCAAAAACGTTCCCAAATAAAGAGTTGAGAAAAAGACCTTAAGCCCATTGTTCCTTTGCAGAACTAAGTGCAATCTGTGTCAACCCCTTACCTCTTAAGGGCTGTTTCAAAAAAGTGAATAAATAGAAGAGTATTGGCTTTGGAATAGATCTGCACAAGAAGCTAAGTGTGAGGAGGGAGGGGCAAGCAGTAAAAATGAGAGTGGAACCTTTTGAGCCGTCTACTGGATCTTTTTGTGTACAGCCTGAGATTTATCATATCAGTCTTTCCTTGGAGGAGAAAACCTGTCATGGCAGCAGGCTGTAAAAGAGACCAGATTTAGGAATATTTTAATGAAGTTTCTCTACCTATGAGTAAGGCAGAGAAGCATGCAAATTAGGTAGAAAACTGTGATTTAAATCTAGGCTTATGGACTAGTGATTTAGATCATGATTTAAACCAAATCCACCCTGCTGTACTCTCAAGTAAATTGTGATAGGTTTGTAGCCATAGGTACACTATATTTCTTGTGGTCATTCTGATAATTTCTGTAGATGAATTAACTGGTTCCTTAATAGAATTGTCATTTTTTAAAAAAATATGTCAATAGAAATAATCATTTTACAATGTAATTGTAAACAGGAAGCAAGTCTCATGAAGTTCAGTGGAGCTTCTGCCTCATGGCTTTGTTCTGAATTGCAGTTTTGTCTCCATAGTCAACCAAAAAAGTAGTAGTATCATAAAATATTAGTCAATATCATCCTAACAGTTATTTTGTGGGCAGGGTAGAATTTGCCTTAAGCATTGGGAATATACCTTAAGCTGTCAAATACCTTTAACCAAGTTTCTAGTTCATTTGGAGGCATTTTCTCTCTTCATGCAGCCCAGAATAACATGTTTATGGTGTTATAGCCCCTAGGTAGACTGGGTGCATCAGTTACTGGAATTGATCCTCTGGAGGACAACATTAGTACAGCAGAATTACACAAGTCGTTTGACCCAGTGCTGGCTAAGAGAATACAGTACAGAACCTGTACAATAGAGGATATGGTGGAAGAGGCATCAGAAACATTTGATGTCATTGTGGCTTCGGAAGTAGTGGAACATGTGGCTGATGTGGAAATGTTTATCAGGTGCTGTAATGAAGTTTTAAAAGTGAGTTCAAGAAACCAATTTGTACTGGAGATTCAAGTTCTTTATTGTAGGAGCATGTTACACTGTTGGGTTGCTTTCCTTTTTTCTGATAAATTCATTACGCAGAGTAGAATTGTATGCACTCCTATGTCCCAGATTCTAATTATCTAGAAAATGAACAACACCTTTAGGATATTTATAAGTAGCAGTTTTCTGTTGGAAAGTGTTGATGCAGACAGATAGGTACTATGGACAGATCTGTTAATTATTTATTTAAACTTGTGAAGGAAATAAAATAGAAAACTTTTTAATTTAAATTTTGAGTTCTATTTATTCTCAGTAAAAATAACAGTAGGATATTTGTTTTAACTACATAAACCCTACTATGGCCTGCACCACCATATTCCTGGCCACCAAAAGTCAACTTCAATAAAAGATTTGAGTCTTCTTAGATTAATTTAAGCGTTGAGCTTTGGCGAGACTGTACAGGAGCGAAGTCCAGGATTAGACGCCAACCATCAAGAATTCTTTCCTGTATGCCCTTACAGTCCTGACTTGGCACATAGCTGATAAAGGAGATAGTATCAAAGTTAAAAAGATGTAAATTATTAAGTTAAATGGAAATACTGAACCTAAACATTGACATTTCAAACAACAAATGTAACAACTCCCGCTTTGTTAGCTGAACAGGCTACAAAAGTAAAGGTCACTCGCCAGATTGCCTTAACTCTACACTTTGGGTATTAGGTAATCATTTGTCTGAAAAACAATTCTGTGAAGCCTGCTGACTTAAAATATTATTCTAATTAGCCCCACCAGTTTGTCCCACATGTTTACTAACAAGTTTAATTCATCTTTCTTATTTTGATGAATTCACATGAGCTACATGCAGCTCAGGTAGAGCAATTGTATGGAGGAAGGCAAGTGAAGAAGCAGGGCAGGGAGACCCCTGTTGTCCAGTCCCAGGAGGCAGGAAGGAGGGATGAGCATGCTGCATTTCCCCCTTTTAATTTAGCCACTGTTGGCTGTTTCTTTCTTTGTTAGTCTTCTCTCCCATTGATTCCAATGTGAAGAAAATGAAATATGCACCTCTAGTTCTTCCAGCATTTCAGGGATCTTCCCAGGGCTTTGGATCCAGTGGGTCCACAGCTTTGCTGGCATGACCTAACAATGTCTGACTTGTTTTAGTCTGTGATGTCCTTTTACTTTGAAGTCATGTCCTTTCTGCAGTTTCTCAGAGTAGGCTTGTGAGGTCTCATCTCCTGTTTCAAGGATGGACCACTCCCAGAAGGGATCTGAAGGCCCTAATGTCTTTTATATTTGTTGTGAAGGTGACTACATGCCCTTATAAGCACTACTATGCAGTGATTTTATTAAAGTATAGTTATTGCATACTATTAAAATAGGGTATTTTAATTAGAGATCAACATACAGAATCAAACTATATCTCAAAACAATACAGAATCAACAAAAAACAAATACAAATTGTAAAGGAAAAAGCACTCTTGGTTACCGAGGATCTTGCACTCTTGGTTACCGAGAATCAAAGCTAGCCAGCTGATCTTTTAAAAAAAATGACTAAAGAAGTGTCCCATGAAAAAGGGTTATCCTTGCCTAGATTGATCACTTGTTTGTTTGTATACAGAGTCAGGTATTAATGAATGAAAATATTAATATCTGCCAGTCTCAAATCACACTAAAATTAGCTTGCTTTTTTCTTCAGTAAAATTATTCATATGGAAATGAATGTAGATTTAATTGGCTTAAATTTGCATTACTGAACATTTTTTATTCTGACAACAGTAGTTTTAATGCTTACTCATAAAGGATGCTGCCAGTTGTATTATGTATAAACAACTCTTGGGTTTTCTTAATAGCCTGAAGGATCTCTGTTTATCACTACAATCAACAAATCGCAGCTGTCCTATTTTTTGGGCATTTTGATTGCTGAGAGAGTACTGCACATTGTTCCAGCAGGCACCCACAACTGGGAAAAGTTCATAGCACCCGAGGAGTTGGAGCGGCTCCTAGAACCAAGTGAGTGTTAAATCCCAAGCGAAGCCCATGATACATACGGCTGCTTGCTGCCTTGGCCTTTCTATCTGGAGGGCAGCCAGTGGCTTTGCAAAATGAAATACTGGTTCATGTTTCCTACCTGGTGCCCCCCACATAGCATGCCACCTGCCGTCCACTCCCCCACCCGCTGGAGGAATCCCCCCTATTGAGTCTGATTAGAGTAAGAGTGGAGATGCAGGTGGTGGGGCAGATCTTGGGCAGTGCCGAGAGGAAACGCGGCGGCTGCTCTTCCTAGCAATGGCCAGTCCTTTTTTCAGTGCCTTCATCAGAATGGGTGATGATGGAGGGCTCACTGTGGAACTAAAAAAAATGCTTCTGGTCCATTTTTGATAGTAAATATAAAGCCAGTGAACTCGATACTAAACACTTTCTCTTGCCACACCTTCACCAGGTTTAGCTTGTTAAAGCCCTGATGTGGCAGTGCCAAAGAATTGGAGGGATTTCCTGTGGAAATGAAGCCCCATAGGCACACATGGTGTAACTTTTTTGTACTTCCTTGGTAATAAGTCTGGCAAAGGCTACCATTGATGCAAAGATACTGCTCCATGTGTGAGCTGATGCATGAAGTTGTGGGCTCTCAGGTGTTGTACCTTCAACATGGAATGCTACAACTATTGGGTGTTTTCCATGGTTTCCATATAGGGGTGTAGGGTGTGGCATTTTTAAATTGGCATTTGCATTATAGTGCTCAAACCTTCTTCAAAATAGTCCCATTCAAGATAAGGTTTATAGTATGGCCTATTTGTGGGTTTTTTTTTCAACTGTTTGTTCAACATGTTGAATATTTCTTTTTAAGACATTTCAGTAAAGTGATGACATTTCCATACCTCCTGTTTACCTGCAAAGAAACCTAGTCATGTATTTTTCTTGGATTTTTAAAGCATTGTGTAGTGAAGGCAGAATTGTCTTTCAAAATTATGTTTAAAACAACTGTATTAGATGTTGAATTCATGTGGGTTTATTATTAAGCTTCAGATCTAATCAAAATATTAAAATAATTGACCATTGTCAGAATTCATAGTTAAGTATTTTACCTGGAATACTTTGGAAGGGCTTCAAGACTAAAAAATCTGTTTCTATTGCTATCTCTGCTTCTTGTTAGTCGCAGAGTCGTGTTTGACCCATCGCAACCCCATGGACAACATTCTTCCAGGCCTTCCTTTCCTCCACCATCCCCCCCCGAGTCCCCTTAAGCTCACACCAACTGCTTCAGTGACTCCATCTAGCCACCTCATCCTCTGCCGTCCCCTTCTTCTTTTGCTATCTATTGTTCCCAGCATTAGGCTCTTCTTCAGTGAGTCCTTCCTTTTCATTAGGTGGCCAAAGTATTTTTGTTTCATCTTCAGTATCTGGCCTTCTAAAGAGCAGTCAGGGTTGATCTCCTCTAGGACTGACCGGTTTGATCGCCTTGCTGTCCAAGGGACTCGCAGGAGTCTCCACCAGCACCACAATTGAAAGGCCTCAATTCTTTGGCACTCAGCCTTCCTTATGTTCCAACTTTCACAGCCATACATTGCAACAGGGAAAACCATAGCCTTGACTATACCTTGACTATACTTTTGTTGGCAGGGTGATGTCTCTCAGCTAGGAAATTACTATTCAGAGTGGAATAATCTTGAAAATTGTGTCTGAATGACATGGTTGGGAACTTTACAGGTGTATATTGTGAATGTTAGGTCCTTTCTGAGAGTGGTCATTTCTTTTCTTCTCTTCCCTACTGCTTACAGATGGTTTTTTAGTGAAGACAGTGAAAGGAATGTTATACAATCCCTTCTTTGGATCCTGGAACTGGATTGGAAGCACTAGCATTAACTATGCACTCCATGCTGTGAAATCAAGTATTCAAGAACAGTTAGATCCAAAGGAAGCATCTGTAGATGTGGACAAAGAACAGCCCCAGTGAGATGCTAGCATCAAAACGTCCAGTTAAGACACCATGGGTAAAGTGGTGGAATGCAGTTGGAGGAAGACTTGCATAAATGGCTGTAATAAACCAATAAGGAGAAAACAGCCTCATGTTCACAGCGCTGGCTGTTAAAATGACTTTGCCAGTCTCAGTCTTATGATAGAAGGAAGTTTATCCTTCACACTTTCAGATGTGCGAAGCTCCTGGAGATGCATTATCTTGAAAAAGAAATGAATTGTTTATCTAAAGATTAGGTGTTCTATGCAAGTTACTGGGAAAGGACTGTTTATTCATGAAATAGTTCTTAAAATGCATGTCTGTAAGATTCCAAAGGAAAAATGTTTTCGTAGGCTTTAAAATCACTGGAGTTAAAAATGTAAGGTTGTATTTCTAAAGTAGCTGAATTGCTTTTATTATTTGAATTCAGCTTCTTGTCTATTTTTAAACATTAAAAAACACACACCTCTGCTTATTTTTGGTTGCTTGGATATAATCTTGTACTTAGCTGCACAATTACAGATACAGTCAGTGGTAGCAAGGCTCACTTCAGCATGAAGACCAGTTCTGTAAGGCCTACTCATGATACGGGCAAGTGCTGAACACACTTTTTTGTGTGGAAATGCAGGGCAAGGAAAAGTAGATCATCTTCTGAATAATACCTATATAGTCAATATGTGTACTTGGGACAAAAAAAGCCATGCCACCTTTGCATCTATCGGTGCACCTGCCTTTCTCTGAATGTGTTGGAAAGTATATCTTAGGTGACCTTCTCTCTGCCTCAATACGTTTTTGAGGGGCAGGTGTTGCTAAGATGCTACGTGGGAACATTTTGGAAGCCTTTCCTGATGGGAAATGTGCCACGCTTCTTGTGCTTTCTTGCGTAGTTACTTCACTTTGTGGTAGGGGGAAGACAACACTGGAAAATGGATCAGTAACTGATGGGAAAGAGCTTTTCTCTGTCAGTTTAATGATACCTTAATAGGTTCCACTGGCCACTTGGACTTTTGGTATCATATCCAGGCTGCAATTAAGGCTTTCCCTCAATGGTCTGAGAAAATCACAGGAAAGACGTCTCTACTGATTATTATTGCCAGCATTAAGGAACCCTGGATTGGAAGATGTGCTTTCGAAACATGCATTGTCAGAGTAATTAGAAAATAAATCTGGCACAAAGCTACAAAAGTGTGAAGATTTAAATTTTGCATTGCACCTGTTAAGAGTTTCAGGAGTAAACCACAAATGCTTCTTGCTGAAATAGTCTTACCATGCTTTGGAAACAATAATTCCATCAAATATTATTCTCAATATTTCATGTGAGTTTGTGATAGAACTGATAATCAGTGTAACAGAGAATTTCTATCCATGCTTAGCTAATGAAGGAATTCCTCAACAGAAGCTTGCATGGAGAAGTTTTCCAGATTTGTAACCATAAGGAAATTTGATGATTCTGTAAACTTCATGAAGAGATTTTCCACAAAGGCATTTACTGCTTGCTTGGTAGTTTGCAGGTGCTTTACATAATGTTCACATCCTTCACGGCCTCTATTATGCCTTGTAACTATGTCTATAGCTTTTCTTTAGATTGAGGAAAGGCAGGTATTATTTAGAAAAGGTGCTATGAAATGCTTGTGTATTTGCACAAGTCCAGTAGTGGTTGATGTAATGGAATATATAAAGGAAGAGAAAGAAAAAATGATGGGAAAATGTGTAAAGGAGCCAATCTTAATCCTGCAAAAAGTCCAGAAGCTAGAGTCTTAGTAAAGGAGCATGTTAAAGGCCTCATATATTCACTGTATTGTTCCCACTGAATGAAGACTTTTTCAGTAGCCTTCTTTGACTGCTGTACTCCATTGATACAGCTGATAGTCTGTGTTTAAAGGACCCTGTTCTTTGCCTGTGGTAGTCTTCATCTGTACTAACATGGAACCATGAATTTCCCTAGAGTCTGGTATTAAATCTACCTCAGTTGTCCAGTAAACTAAACTGGAACATTTATGCTTGAAATTAAATTGCTGACAGAAGACAGTAAGGCCTCTCTATTCAAGTGCCACATTTTTTTCTTTAGAATGGTTAGATCTTTGCCTTCAGGGGTGAACATGATATCTAGGATTTCCTGTTAAAATAATGTTTAGAGAGAAACAACTTATGAGCAGGGGAAAGTTGATACACATAAGAAAATGCATATATCTGTGGGAGCACTGATTCCAAAAGTTATGGACACTAGAACAACTCACCCCAGATTTCTGAATGAGCAGCTCTTTCAGTCTTAATGCATTGATGATGAAATTTTGTGTTTTTCTAAATGAATGGGACACTAACAAGCTCTTTTGGAAAACAGTCACACATCTCTCGTAGTTTGGCCAAGAAAAGACCAGATGTTCTGACACAAGTTTATGCGCTACATAAAATCAAAGGCCCATGGAGTTCAGGTCTCTGATGCATGGCAGGCCTATTCATATCAGCCACTTGTAGATGAAGAACTAGAATTTCACCCTGTGCTCCAGTCCAGCTCTGGTACCCTGTTAACTACTCAGTGCTGTAGCTTGGTACTGTATGGTAGAAAACCAATTGGCTTTACTATTGCTGATGAACATCACATACTGGCTCAATTGAAAAGCAAGTGGCAAAGTTAGGTGTTTTCTGGATGTTGACTGACAGGTATCATGGAATTTCAGCTTATTTATTGCAGGCAGTATATATTTTCTATAAATCCTGCATAAGAAAAGAATTGAAATTACAGCCTTAGTTTCTGAAGCAAAGTATATGATTAATCTTTTCTGGGCAGTCATTGGCACCAAGCCCCTAGTTCCAATTACATGCAATAAAATGGCATATGCTTTCCCTATTTTCCACTTCATTCTCTCATAAAAGATTGTTGGGCAAGGGACCAGTCAAACCTGTTCACAGTGGCATGTTCACAGTGAAAATAATTTGCCATAGTCTATTCCAGGATAGAAGCCTAGGATAGCACCCTTAACTCTGTCCTATCAACCTTGTAGGTGAACTTTGTAAGAATAGCCATCAGCCAGGTCTTCTGGCAAGGTTCCCATGGAAGTGGATTTGAGCCCAGGTTTCCCAGATGCTTGTCTACACCACACAGGCACACCAGAAGTGGGTTGAGATGGGCGTGGGGAGCTGTTATGCCCAGGTCCTATGATTTAGAAGTAAACACTATACTAATTAATTCATGTCAGGTTAGATACAGTAAATGTACAATTCTTTTATTGTGTCCATTGATTTATGTTCGTTTGCATGACCATGTTCCCATAATGATGCTTCCTTTATCCAAGTATTGATATTAGTTCCACTTTACTGATGGCATTCTTAAATATGTAAGATAGAAGCCTTTCAAGCAGAAGGCAGGAAGCTGACTGTAAAAAAAGGCACATGTTGATGGAAAAAGGACAGGGTGTTTTTTTTTTTTTTAAACTAGGTTAGTAGAATTTCTTAAGTAAAAAAGCAGGGCACAAAGGCAACTGGTTTACAGAGATGCTAGATAGCTGGTTATATTAAACTAACAGATTCATGACTGGGAAGACACACGTACAGGCTTTTGACGTGTAGCCTTGCATTTTAGCCTTGCTCTAACTTATATCCTGAGCTTTGATGATTTCAGTATTTATTTCTATACCATCCATCAGCCAAAGAGGCTTTCTGGGAACCTCTAACAACCCAGGAACCCCAGTGTCTGAATTTGCCTCTTTTGCCCTTGGTCATGTTTAAAGAATTCTTGGGTAAGAAGAGGGAGAATAGGAAAAGACAATACCCCATGGAAGCACTCCACAGCAGGCAGGACCTGGAACTGAATGGAAGGATGCTTACCATCCCCTCCTGCAGGGACAAAGAAGGTGTAGATGAATAGAGCTTGCTGGCAAGCTGTCCGAGTCGGCCCTCACAATGCTCACACATCTTGGCAAAATGGCAAAAATGGGCTGTAGCTAATGTTAGTCCTACTTGGAGTAGTTCCATTAAAATGATTGCATCTTACTTTGGACACAAGCCTTAGTTACTAACTAGGGCCATAGACCTGGGATAATTTTTCCACGGTTTGCAAACTCAGGGTCACTTGTTATGTTGGTGTTAGCTTTCTCTTTTGGAATAAAAAGCAATAATAAAAAGGACAGCTGAGCTGGTAGTGGTGGGAGGGGCAAGCTGAATGAAAACGTATCAGTTAGAAAGCAGGGCTTTGTTTACCAGATGAAACCCGCGTCCTTCTCTTCCTGGACCGAAGGATGCTATTCATCACCTGAAGCCTAGCCACGCGACTTAGACCAGGCTAATGCTCATTTTGGCTGCGGGAGAGAAACACAAGAGCAGCAGCGGCTAATTAGCAAAACAACCTTGTTTGTTGCTTCATTTGGCCGGGTCAGCCGCGTTGCAGTTTTCGCCAAGTTCCTGCTACGCTGGCAGGGGGATGATGGGAGCTGTAGTTCCGCGCCATCTGAACCCCACGCCCTGTGCCGCGTCGCCGAAGTCTTCGCCGTAAAGGTCGTCCTTGGCTTCCGATGACCTTCGCTGTCCTCCCGCCCACCGCCCCTCCACGGGGAGGCGCCAGCTGGGGGCGGGGAGGTCAAGTCCCCGCTCCTAGATTTTTAGGCAGCAGAGCGGCAGGCGGGTGAGCCATGACATCACCCCCCCTCCTCCATGCAAAGACACAAAGCCAGAGGCAGCCGCGGAAGGAAAGTGCCGCCGCCGCCGCCGCCTCCGGTGGCGGTGATGCAGCCGCCGCCGCCGCTGTAGAGACCGCCAGGGAGACCCGCCGCGGCTGCACGCTCCTTCCCTGCCCTGCCCGTCCTCCTCTTCCTCCTCCTCCAGCGCTGCCAAACCCTCCGCTCGCCGTCACCTTGACGCCGCCCGCTTCTCCCCCATGCAGACGGCCCTGGCGTCGTCGCCGACCGGAGGGGAATCGGGAGCCAGCAACGCCCGCGCCGCGCCGCGCAGCATGCCCTGGGGGGTTGGCTTCGCCTCGTCCAGGTCGTGCGTGGTGGACCTAAGCCGGAATCAAAGCCTGTGGTGCGCGGGGTCCGACGAGCGCTTCTCTTTTTATGGGGAGATCATCGCCTTCCCTCTGCAGGATTACGGCGGGAGCATGGCAGGGCTGGGCGCTGATTCGTGGTGGAAGAAAACGCTCTACTTGACAGGGGGAGCCCTGCTCGCCGCCGCCGCGTATCTGCTGCACGAACTCCTGGCCATTAGGTGAGCGAGGGAGGCCCGGGCAGGCCTTTGGGACGCGGAGAGAATAGAGGCAAATAGCCCAGCAAGGGCAGCAATAGTGAGGGGTATGCTTTCCTCTAGTGCGGGCTTTTCCTCGCCGGGGAGGGGAGGGACGTGCTGGTCGTGATCGGCCATCACGCATCGATTAAATGGCGATAATCCTCCAAACACCGGAACAACCAAAACTCTCGGCCTCCTGCACGCCCCGCCACGGCATTAGTTCTAGCTTTCACAGGATCACGTCTAGAGATGCAGGCCTTATTCTGAGGGGAAGTTCAGCAGCGCCCCCTCCTCCCCCCCAAACCCCCGCCCCCTGCATTCATATTGCAGCACTCAGCCCTGGACTCTCTGAAATACTTGGAAAGGGTTTCTGAGCACATGCAGAGAGCATTCTGGCCCCGGATGATTACGGACTGGAGCGAAGGTGGGGGGGGCGGGGAGATCCGCTGGGGATGATTTGCAAACAGTCTGGATCCTCACCGTTGCTTATGAGAAGTGTTACACAAATGAAAGTGAGATATGTTGAGATCTGTAGGTGTGGTCAGGGCCAAGACCAGCTGTCTACTCCTGTTATGTTTTCAGGCTGCACGCTAGGGGAGGAATAATATCCCAGCACTGCAGTTTGTAAAAGTCAGCCCTGCATATGGCCTACCTTATAGGGGTGTGTCTCCTTGTGATGGGGTTATAAAATGTTTTGCATACCCAAATATTGCACTAGGTTAAGTATAAAGGCACAGTGTAAATGGGGGTGGGTGCTGGCTAATGTCCACTAGTAGGTTGTGTCAATGATTTATATATCACGTGTCTGAACGTATGTGCTTGTGGGGGGGGGAAGCTGTTTATGCCCTGAAATATCTACATAAATTAACTGTATGAGGTTTACAATGCAATCGATCAATCAGTCGATAAGCATAATTAAAATGTGTGCTTTTTATCTTCAAAATAGAAAAAAGTCTAGGGGGCAGTGAGTAGGGGTGAAGGGGTGTTGAATCAAAATGAAACATTTTTCCAGATTTTATGCAGCTAACAGTTCCATTCGAAAGAGAGCTGTGCACTCTTGGGATATGCGTTGTGTTGGCTTGCATGATTTTTTTGTGCCATAGTATGGAGCTTGTTAAAAACTGTAGGCTGTGGACATTTCCAACATGCCACCCTTTTTTCTCCCCTTTTCCCCTTTTCTTAAGGTAGAGATGGGAAGCAGGCAGGAATGCCAATATCTAGTCCAGACAGAAGTACTGGGGAACCTGGAAGCTTGACCATGTTGCATTGTAGCACTTTAATGTATGCTACTACCTAGTGCCCCTGCTTTGATGGGGATGTTGTATTGTTTACTGGTATTGATGTTTTCATTGTTTTCTTTATGTAGTTTTTATGTTTTGCTATGGTTTTATTATGTAAACTGTCCAGAGAGCTATGAGGCTATTGTGAAGGCATACAAAAGTGTTAATAAATAAATAAATTTAATTGGTCCTACTAAAATGCATTGGTTGGTTTGGTTCATGCAATGTGATAGGCCATGGTGATTTAGAAGTTAGGGGAAGTTTGGCTTATTGTCTGAACACAGTCAGAGTGATTAACAATCATGCTGGTGGGTTCAGACAACATGAGAAACCATCCCTGGCTTAGCAGTCACCATGGCTTATGGTTTCCCTTCTGCATGCGGACCAGAATGACTGTCTGCAACTTTTAAAATGTGTAGCTAGTAATTTTCTTAAGTTTTGAACACATGTCCTTCAGATGTTTCAGCTGAAGACAAGAGGCAAGTCAGCACATCTGACTCGGTATCCAGTGGTTAGTTAGATTCAGTACCAGTCCAGTAACTGCTCACAAATAACCTTGTTTTGCAGCCGGGAATCCTCTTAATGTTTGTTGCTATTCCGCTGAGATTGTTTGCTGTATAATCTGTAGATTGGTTTGTTAGATAATTGCAGCACCCTATAAAAGTTAGGCAGATGTTCGTATAAGGTTAGGGTTTGTCTTGAGAGCTGTAGAGGGACAGAGTTGTATCCAGAGTTAGTCTTACTTGGAACAAGCATGCAGAATAGTTTAAATGATTTCATGACTCCCAGTGGGCAGCAAACAGGAGATGGAAACACCAGATGAGGCCATAGACCATTACAAGTGCAATCCTGTAAATGACTACTCAGAAATAAATGCCATTGAGTCTAGGTGAGTTATTACTAGGTGCATGGATATAGGATTGCTGGCTTAATTAGCAAAAGTGACGGGTAGTACAGTGCCTTGGCACTTTTTCCAAGGACTTTTGGAACACAAAATAAAGAAATAAATAGTTCTTCCAAGTTGGGAATTCCGTTGCTCATTTCTTTTAAGCCAGGCTTGGAGTAGGCAGTCATTTAAGCAAAAAATGGTCCTCGGATAGTCTTTTAGATTTCTGAAGTCAGACAGGTGGCTACCTGATGCATGCAGCCCAAGTTGTTGATCTAGATAGGAGAACTTCACATGTGGTTGTTGACTTTGGCAGAAGTTTCATCAGTTTTAGGGTCTTCCAAGTAGCCAGCTATAACTTTGGCCAGGCTCAAAAACTAGCATAAAGGGAGAGAGAAAGTATCATTCTGCCTCAAAGGGAGCATTAACATTGCCTATTATATTTCACTGCACAGATAGATGCATCAGCTGTAGATCTATGATGGAAGCCCCAGATTCAGCCATTAATGAAAAAATAATCCGATGACACCAAGCTAATGTTGACACCTCTTAAGCTTAAAACAATGCTAAAGCACCTGTCATTCCAACATGGAATAAAAACTGGAATATAACCATACAAATGTTCAAGAGAAATATACAAAAGTTATTAATAGTCTGAGAACTGAGCTGACTCTGGCTTATTTGAGTCAGATTGAATATATTTTATTTCTGCACTTCTGTTCCACTTTTGCCCCAACACAACAACATATACATTGCTCTTACGTTGTTGACGTACGTACCTCTGCATGAGCACGGACAGAGCAAGCAGGCACAAGAACTTGCCATTATGCAGTAGCCCCAGTGCGGATCCTGCATGCTGTGCCTGTCCCGGCTTCATCCTCTTGCTGACAGTCAAAATATATTGTGCAGCGATGTAGCTTTAACGCCTTTTGGGGTTTTGTGGAAAGAAAGAAGAAGTGATTGGAAAGTATGGGAGGATTAGAAATGGAAAACAGTGCTGTCTTCGAAACCCAGATAAAGCCTTGTGTGGAAACACCCTTAAACTGAGACTTACAGGCCCAGGGGTTTCCTGGTCATCATCCAACACTATCCACACTGGCATTTTGAATTATTTGGCTGTGCATTTAGCCGATTTGCCCTTCGATCCTGAAGCCCCTTTCTGAACAAGAAAGGTACTCTGGTGTCAGGCAATAAGGCCACATGAGGGGCATCGGACCCTTTAACAGAATCGTCTGCTGTAGAGGGCAATTCTATACATATTGCTTGGAAGTAAATCCCATTGAGTTCAATAAATCAATGGGAGCATGCATAGGATTACATCAGTAATTTCTTAGTTTATTCACAATGTCTGTTGCTGTGAGCTCAAAACTTTTGTTACTTGCTAGTGGAGAATATTTGAACCACAAAATTGTTAGTTTAGGTTTAGCTATTAAAATTTTAATTTATGTTCTCATTTAATTTCATTGTGTTATACCCATATTTAATAACATATTTTAAAATCCAATAATGCTTTTTAATTTAAGAACTTGCCTCTTAATCCTGTAGGTTGGGGGGTTGTTTTGTTTTTGTTTTGTTGAGTATCCTGCCATTTCTATTGGATGGGTAACTTGTAGGCTTTAAAACTCTGGTAAAGTTGCTAATTGAATATATCATACAAAAGCTGCATGCTCACCTAAGAGGTCCACTGAAATCAGTGAGTATGAGTAATTACTGTAAACAACACAATCTTAGGCATATTTAGTCTGATGTAGAAGTGGCTTATTCCTAAGCAGTTGTGGATAGGTTAGTAACAATTTAGTAATCAAAATTTGATTATGCTCCTAAATCTACTACTTGAATTGTAAATTCCATTGAATCCATTGGGCCTTCAGAGAAACATTAATAGGTTCACTGCTTGATTTTTGGCTCAGGTTGTAACTGAGTTTTATGACGTACCTGACCTTTGTTGGATAGAGTGAATGTATTTTATCCGAGAAGTATTTATCATTCAATAAATTAATTTTACAACCTGCTATTCTTTCTCTATTGTATGGCTTATTGTAAATGCTACAATCAACAAAGTGGAATATGGGACATGCATGCGTCTATTGGTCACTTGGGTGTGATTGTTGTAGACCAGGACCTGAAGTTTATCAATGCCATATGGTGCAGCAGCTTTATTATTGCTGTAAACCATACTTGTTAATGGTGGTTCCAAGCTTGGTTCTCTTGGGATGGAACCTGGCAAAGCATTGCTGCTATATATCTAGACAATGCCTGGGAAGAAAAGCAGAGATTATTCAGATATATTTGTTCCTGTAGGTGCAGAGCCATCTTTGTGCTAAGCAGAAGTAAACAGATGCATATATGTGATATCCTAGTACTTTGTGCACTGATGCAAAATAGCATCTCCAAAGCAGATCCTTAAGCTTGTAGTCGATGCCAGCCCTGCACCTCTGCTGCCATAGACCCCTCTACCAGCAGAACAGGAATCCAGTGCTTCTGACAGCAACCCTGCAAGTGGGTCGGAATGCTCATTTCCAAAACAGGGCAGATCAGCAGCTCCCTTCTTGGTGGCTTAGCTGACCTGATCTGTTTTGGAAATGCACAATTCAGTTTATTTCCTGTTACTTTAGGAAGTGCTAGTTTCTCATGTCCCAGCGGTGGGTTCTGCTGGTGAATGGGCAGCATCAGATGATGCTCTTAGAATATTAAAAGTCACGTATAAGGTAGGAGAGGAGATGATGCAAAAATGAGTTATTGGCCTAGAATCAATAAATATCAAGAATAATCTGAGAAAGGGAAAGCATGGCTTTATGTTTGACATTGTATGTATATCCCATCTTTTCCCCTTTTGTGAGGAACCCAAGATGGCTCCATAGCTCCATTTTATCCTCACAGCAACAAGCCTGTCTGACGGATTAGACTGAGAATTAGTGACTGGCCTGAAATCACCCACGGAGCTTCATGGCCTGGTGGCAGCTGGCACACCGATTTCTTCCAGGTTCTTAGTCCAACCTGCTACCTACCATGCCAACATATTATGCTACATTTTCAGCAAGCCTGTAGAATCAGTTAGCCAGGCAGATTGATCCTGAAGTACTCTTTGTGTTGCCTGAGTCATCAGAGGAGACAGTTCTTGTACTAATGTTGGCTAATCAGTGCTCCAAAATACCATTAGTCCATAAGTGATCTTTCTGTGGTTGTGAGCAGGAAATAGCAACTGCAGCCATTTATGCATTTGTTTAGTGCTTGGACACCAGTCAAGGCATGCATCAGTCTTTGGACAAAACAAAGATGTGAGCAGAGGCCCTTTTGACCTCTGCTTGGAGACCACGGGACAGTGAAAGTGCCTGTTGATGCTGTGTGTTCATGGGAACTCTGCATCCCTAATCGATAAGTGGGGCCAGGCAAACTTATTTGACAGACTTCTGTACTAGGAACAGAGGCTTGAAAGTACCATGGGAGGAGATTGTTTCACAGTGTCACTGGCTGTGTGAAATTCTCTCCCTGCTCTGCAGATGAAGGGAACAGGAGAACCCAGTGCAGGCCAAGAACAGATGTTTTTGTGGTGGTGCTAGCAATACTTGTTGTTCTGATTGCCACAGAGAGGGCACAGTTTGGAGTTGAGAAGGGTTTTGTACAGGTAACTCATGAAAATTTGTCAAGAGGAGAGTGGATGGACAAGAGGGGAAAGGACCCGGCGGCTATACTTGTTTCACTCTAAGCAGTGTTTTTGATTTCTTTAACTGCATCAGCTTTAATGATTATCAGAGCCTTAAAGTCAGCGTCTTCTCCCTGCCATGAACTGCAGCTCAAGTCTAGTATCCTGGAAGCAGGCTGGAGTGTGACGCTGGCTGAAATTGGGAGAGTGCATTATGAAGGGTGGCATATTCCGTAAGTGCTGAGTCCCTCAGCCAGAACTGATGAGCAGACCAGAGACTGATGAGCCCTGGAATGACTATGCTTCGTGTGCTGCGAATGAGCAAAGCTGCATGTAGTGATAAGTTTATTGGCAGGGCGGCCTCCAGGGCTAAAGAGCCTGACCAACCATCCTGGGGTTGCACATGCAGCGCTGTGAACGAGTGGGTGGGCGACTGTAACTCATTTACCGCCTTGCTTACTGTCTTTCATTTTTATCATGTAAAACCAAAACTGGAACAACACAAAAGGAGAAAAATAGAACGGCTTTCTCTGGGGTTGCTTTGGTTTGTGAACTCTCTTCTGTCCTTGTGCCACACCAGGGAAGGAAATGGATGGACAGTGCCCAGTGATCTATACCTGCATGGTGCATCTTAGTAGGAAGGACAAAGCTCAGGGAGTGAGGCCACTCAACTTGCTCTCTCTCCCCTTTAAAGAGGCCTGCCAGGATGCAGGGAGAAGTGCCCGTCTCAGGCACTGAACTGCATGTCTCAGTGGAAAACGGGGTGGGTGGGTAAGTCTGTGCCTTAGAATGGTTTCTCGGAGTGGTTGCTATATGGTGGCACCATGTACAAGTTGTCACCACTCTAGAGCAGGGGTGGGCAACTGATGTCCCAGAGGGCTCTCTGCAGTGCCTCTGGCCTTAACTGAGGTCCTGAAGTGGGGACAAAACTAGTGGACTGTTTGCAACTAAATTTCAGTGACAAATGGCAACATTAGTTCTCCCCCTCAAAAAAGTAGTTTTAAAAGGAAGGCTGTGTTTTTTTTTTTTTTTTACCATGATCTACCCAACAGCCTATTAAATGGTTTCTACTTTATTGTGGTTTCCATCTTCTTCATGCAGTCCATATATTGTTGGCATGCATCCCATCAGCCACTATGCCTGAAATTCAATCCAAGGTGTATCTCTGGTAGTTGCATACCAGGACCATGGAAATCATGATCCTGGGTTGAAACAACATGACAAGCCATGGTGGTACAGAGAAACCATAGAACAAACCATTGTTTCTTAATGTAGCTTCTGAAGACCAAACTCATTGTGATGAAATACCATGACTAGGTTCAGACAATATGACAGATTGATATGCTAAAAAAATAAAAAAAATCACCATGGCATCTTATGATGTTTGAACCCAGCCATTGTTTGCTGCTGCTACTGAAGATCAGTTGGAGCAGCTTCTGGGGGTTGAAATTGGCTCCTGAAGCAGCCCACCCCTGCCCTAGAGCAGTCACTGTAGGAAACTTCCTCTGTCCATGCTGATTATAATTGTTGGTGGACTTCGCTGCCATGGCTGGAAGAGGCAGCAGCTAACCAGGTGGGAAAGTGGGTGGAGGTGGCAGAGGCAGCAGAGTATCTTGGACAGCGAGTGTGGTCTAGTGTTCAGGCCATCAGGTTAGGATCAGAGGGTCTCAGGTTCAAATACCTGCTCAGCCATGTTTGCAAGGTGGTGTTGGACCAGTCACAGTTGCAAAGGTTAACCTACCTCACAGGAGTGTTGTGAGAATGAAACAGATACAGACAAAACATGCACCACTATCCTAATGTGATGAATAGACATAAGTAGCTATTTCTTCTTCTCAGCTTTTAATCAGAGATTTTCTGTGCGTATTCTGATCAGTTTGAGCAACCTGAGGAGCTTAGAAAAACCTTGCTTAAAAAAAGTGGGTTGAGATTCTCTGCATATGGATTCCCTTGCCCACTACCCAAAGCCAGGCTTTTCCAGGGTAGGGTTGCAGTCTGAGATTGCCTCTTGGTGGGATTATAGTTTATTTTGAAAGGGGTTCCCACAGTTTGAGCAAATTAAATCAGTCCTTGGAAGACACTTGTTCAGTGGGCTAAGATCATGACAGCAAGGGGGAAAGCAGGTGTTTATGCTACCTTGAGAAGTGTGGGCATCTTGATGCTTTACCTTTAGAGGTTTTTTAGAGTGCCTTCTGTGTGCCAACTTCTCTTCCAAATCATCATAAGTACTGCATAAGTAACTCTGCAGCTTCATATTCAGATGACTTTAAAGTACTTCTGCATAAACAGTAAACACACAAAGGCCTCTGTCTCATACCTAGGCCATTTTTAGACAGCATGGAAATCCTATATCTAATATTGTCATCCTCATGGTAAAGTATATGAACCAATGTATATATGGATTTAATTGTGCAAATTGTTTAGATATTTCTAATACGAATTCAGCTTGGCTTACTTTATCCTCATTCTCCAAAGAGCTTCTTAGTGACCTCACAGATGCTGAATAAGAAATGGCAGTAGCATATTAAGAGGCAGACAGAAGTTGTGGCTCAGCAAGATGCATCATACCTTGTTTATCCAACATATTGATGCTCTATCTAATCCATGATGGATTCTGTTATATAAAACTTGCTCTCTTGTTTTTCATATAGGAAAGAACAAGAGGTTGATTCAAAAGATGCTATCATTCTGCATCAGTTTTCAAGGCCAAACAATGGTGCACCCAGTTTATCTCCTTTCTGCTTGAAAATGGAAACGTATTTGAGGATGGCTGATTTGCCCTACCAGGTATACTTCTGCACATTCTATTATGCTGCATTTTAGCTACTTACACTGAAGCTACTAGCCTGGGAACATTTGTCTTGCTGGGGGATCTATATTTGTCTAATCCTGCTTTCCCCATCCTGGTGGCCTTTGGCTAAATGTTTTGGAGCTATCCAGATGGCTGGACTCATGATCCGAAATTAAGGGAGTTGTAGTTCAAAACATCCAGTGACCACCAGCTTGTGAATGCTTTGTGTAAAAGCAAATTCAGATGAGAAAGCGCTCACATAGTACCATCACTGAACGACTGTACCATCTTGGAATGTACATCACAGTTGCTTATTGGAAGGCGCTTCCGCATCCCACTTCTGCTTGCAGAAAGCAGAACGCTTCTCTACTCAAACAGGTAGACTTGCCCTTGCTATGTAGGTGGATTTGAGGGGTGGAGGTGCTTTCAAAGTGATCTCTCATTGATATGGCTAAGTGGTGCAGTCATGATATGTGCTATGCCATGTGTGACTTATATCCTTGTTTTATCCTTCTCAGGGCTATCAACTGCTTAAACTTGAACTTAAAGTAGTTAAACTACTTAAGCTACTTAAACTTCAACCTTTAGCTGATTGATAATTATGTTTGTCCATAAATAAAAGTAATAATTCTGATGAGAGAAAAAACATGCTTTTCCTTTTAAAATAACATTTTATTCATTTACCTATTTAAAATGAATTGGTACATTTCCACCTATCGTAACAGCATAGACTTCTCTTTATGTAATGGTTTTCTGATACATCATGCCTCTTGCTGCTTCCAGATTTTACTGAGAAAGGAGATGTTCTGCTGCACTAATAAAGTCACTATTGTAAGGGTGTAAAGTTGCATAACTGCCTTGCGCATTTGTTGGTTTTTAACCTGATCCAACAAACAGCCCAATGTCCCAAGAGAGAAGTATGAATGACTATTGAGCTCATGAAGTTCAGTGGAGAAATACTGAGGGATAAGAGAAACAAGAGAAAGTGAGACTTTCATGCACATAAGGGAAAGTGTGCCTAACTACAGCAGAGGGTTACCAAAAAAGAATACAGTTTTGTAAAACAAGCAAAATAGAGATTCATGCAGAGACAGCTGTGTTAGTACATTTTGTATGTGGCCTTTGCCATTCCAGGGGCAGAGAAATCCAATTGCTTTTAAGAAGCAATTATTTCATAGTCATTCCTTGATTATCAGAAGGTTTTTTGCCATCTAATTGCACCAAAACAAACATTGCTTTAAATCTATACCTAGTAGCTTTCTTTCTCACAGATTTTTCCTGTTAGGTGCATGAGATCCATTTTGAACTTAACCCCTCACTAAGGTTCTGATCCAGACTGGGTTTCCTGCATAAAATCTGGAGTAGAAATGAAATGTAGCAGCTAGGGATAGATTTAAAATAATATCTGTTTTAGCTCACAGAGGTGCAGAACCTGGTGGGGGTTGTTTCACAATTTTGCTTTGAGTCAGGGTGACCTGATCAAGTGAGGTCAATACTTCTGTAAAAGATGCTGGCTGGGGATGCTGGAAGTTGTAGTACATTTTCTGTGTAAAGATGTATAAGTGTGTGCCCTGAATTGCTTAAATGGCAGCAGCTTGTATTTCACCCTAGCTCTAATAACATATAATTAAAAGAGGAAAACTGAACTGCATGAAGAAATATGCTTAAGTCAAGGAGAATGTGGCACAAAGAACAAACAAGTCTTTGATAGATAAGGGAGCATCTGTTGATTGCCTAGCAACATCCTAGACATATCCTTCTATTTGAGGACGAAGAGACATAGCTCAATTGTAGCCCAGCTGCTGTGCACGCAGGAAGACTTGGATTCAGTTTCTGGCATCTCCAGTAAAGAATCTTAGCTGGAAGGAAGACCTCTGCCTGATTCACTGGGAAGCCACCCCCAGTCATTGTTAGAGGAGCCAGTGGTCTGAATTTCCTTAGACGTGGGATCAGTTCAAAGCACAGTAGCTGGAGAAACACAATCCAGATAGTTTCTGCCTTTTTGCTGTGTGAACACAGAACATGATTTTTGCAACACCTTGAACTTCCTAGAAAGTTCTGCTAAGAATTGGGGCTTTCAGAGAAAATATCTCTCTTAATATCGCTCTCTCCTCATTTTACTTTTTTCAGGATTATATCATTGACACCACTTCATGTGGCAAGAAAATATTCATCTTGACTAATTTTGGAACCATAATGAAAAGCTTTCTTTTTCTTTGTTGACACAGGGATGTGGTGAACAGTGATGTGAATTTTGTGGAAAATTTTGAATTGGAAGATACTGCTGAAAATGTTCTGCTGTATCAACTGATTAAAATCTGACTCATCAGATATATTTAACTGAATGCCATTTTAATTATATACAAATACCTCAATCCCCCCAAGAATAGCCAAGAGTAGAAATGGAATATTTCACTAGGGAAAGCAAATTGATAACAGAGAAGTCATATGGTTGAAATCTAGCTTTCAAGAAAATTAAAAGGTTTGCTTAGGAATTATTTCTTTTGAAATACTTGCAAATATTTTAAGGTGTGATAAAATGGAAAGAAAGGAGGAACTTGCACTGTGCCTTGATATGTTGGAGGGAAATTAGCATATAAATGTAATAAGCTAAATAACAGTAGCATACTATTCACTTAAGTTGTTGAGATTTTAATGCACAGAAAACTAATACAGTGGTACATTGGCTCACAAACTTAATCCATTCCACGACTCTGGTTGCGACCCTAATTGGCCATGAGCCAAGTCAAATTTCCCCATAAGGTTCAATGTAAATAAGGTTATTCCGTTCTATAAATATTTTTTTAATCATAGGGAAGACGGGCGCAATCACGGGCATGCTGGGGAGAGATGGGTGTGATCGCAAGTGCACTTGTGCAGGGAAGAGGGGCATGATCGCGATTGTCACCTGATTCAGAGTTCGCAACCTGAGGAAATTATTTTCCTAAATTTCTGTTCACGACCCAATTTGGTCATGAACTGAGGCATTTGTGAGCTGAGGTACCACTGTAATGCATCTTGATAGATGTAGACTAAGTAAGGGCCAAAGGACATAGTATGTTAGATGTATAGTACACAACTGATGCTCTTTTTTATAGCTAAGTAGGAAGGGTCCTGATTCAGAGAAGTACAGGCTGGGTAAGAGTAAACCGTCCTATCCAGCTGTTTCCTAGCTCATAATTCCCCCACCCCGTGTTTTAAAAAGGCAAGAAAATAAAAAATAAATAAAAGGCTAATTTCTACATTGGCACCAGTACAGTCCCACCTATTTTTAATTCTTAGTTGGGGTGTGGTGGTGGTAATATTTAGCCCTTCGTTGTTCTTAAGTCCCAGGCATTTAAATAGAAACTCGCACAAGTTATGACTAACAACTTTGAACAAGCATTTCAATGCAACTAATGAAGTGCAACTAACTTGGTCTGGTTCAGCCTTCTGAATTTAATATGCTGATATATCAATGTGTTTCATAGGGATAGTTTCTTGAACAAACAATTACAATTTTGATTTTAGGTTTGACTCATAAGTATCCTTTCCATAGGATCAGGTGGACTGACGTGATGCCCATTCATTATGTTACTAACTGATTTTAGCAAACAATGCTGTTCTAAAATGAGAGCATGTTCTGCATGAAAATGTAGCAGCCATGCATCTCCACAGATTATTTTTCTGGCCTGCATCACTGGGTTTCTTGCAGTGACTTATAATGCAGTGGCTTTTCCTGCATTGTATTTCAAAACAAGTCAACCACTTAGCAGGCTATATGTGTTTCCTTTCTTGTTCCTTCTTTGCTATTTCACTTGTCTTAAACCTCTGCTACCTCTTTGGGGGATCAGAATTTCAATTCTTCTCTGCAGGGGATAAGAAAATAAGCTGCAGAATTAGCAGGCAGAAGGGATTCCCTTACCCATCCTAGAAATCTTGAAGGACTAAGGACTACATTTGGGTCTCAGCTTAGAGCATGATACTTCTTGCTTCACACGGCTAGCTGCCTCTCCTTATTAAACTCGAATGAGATTAAGGATGATGGTGGGGGTATCTCATAGCTAACCTTCACACAAGCAAAAGACCAAAATGGACAAAACTGTAGATCCATATCTAATAGAATTTTCTTCCATTCCTACAGTATTATAGACAGAATGGCTGCATTCTTAATATATTCCTAAGCTACATGCTTGCGTCCCGAACTGGGTTGGTCCCCCTGAGCCAATTCATTTTAAAATGAAAGAAAAAGAAGACCTGAGTGTTAGATATGGATTTAAACTGATGTCTATTTTGGCCCTCAAAGTCTGGAAGGCCCAGCTGAAGACCAGCTCACTCTTTGTGACTTTCCTCCCTAAGACATACTTTGATTTAACACTGGCCTAAAAAATATACTGGGTCAAGAGACAGGAGCTTGCACCTAAAAGATATTCCTGATGAAGATATTATGTTCCATGATGCAAAGCTCCAATTTGCATCCCACTGTTAGGGCCAACATTTTAAAAAAGAAATTCTTGTATTTTTTGCATGTCTGCACCATCCAGACCCAAATTTCTGCTTTCATATACTCTCCTCTGTTATGGCTACTTCTGCTTGCTGCATCACAGCACTGGCTCTGGGGCCAGAAGCTCCCCAGTGTATTAGGAAGGGAACTTCTTTGACTGGGGAGTCACAGTATGTTCCTCTTCACTTGGTATCCATCCTGTCGCTAACTGGGAAGGCACATGAAGGAGATAGTTGTAGAGTGCAGGCAGTTTTGGGAAGGAATTAGGTTTTCCTTCTAGTTTAACAAACGAGAGCAGGAAGCTATACCTTGTCCTGGGCTGCTCAGCAGGTTTAGAGTCAAAGGGGCAGCTGAACCTAAATTACTTTACATCTGATTTTTTAATACTGTTTTGCTTTTGTTTTGGAACTCCTTTCTTCTTAGAACTACTTTGATGGAAAACTTTCTCCTCAAGGGAAAATGCCATGGATTGAGTACAACCGCAAGAAAGTATCCGGCACAGAGTTCATTATTGATTTTTTGGAAGAGAAGCTTGGAGTGAATTTAAACAAACACCTTGGCCCACATGAAAGAGCGGTTTCTCGAGCTGTAACAAAAATGGTGGAGGAGCATTTCTACTGGTGAGTTGCCACAGATAACAAACAATCTGTGAAGATTACTAACTTGCATCTTCACTGAATGCAATCTTCCCCGAGCTGGTACCTTACACCAGTGGCAGCTGCTGGTGCCGATATCAGTTCAGAAAGTCAATTCAGGACCATGGATAGCTCCTTTCAAGTTCAAACTACAATCTGGGGTGTATACACATTTTGTTAAGGTCGGAGCAGCTCGCCTCTATGGTTACAGACGCTTTGGGAGTTGTCATCCAGCATACTTGGAGAGTGCCACCTTGCAGAAAGGTGCAACAATGTATTTGCATTATTGTTTCATTTCTTGGAGCACACCTGTTAGCCCTAACGCTTTTTCGGCTCATGGACAATTAATTAATTCTGCGCCTAGTATAGCAAGGTTATTTTGATAAGTGTTGTTTTACTGCAAAGACAATCTTAACTATGTTCAGAACTAGACATTCGCTGATTCAGCACTGATCGGATTCTGCTGTAAACTGTCCAAAGAGTTTGGCTGTTGGGCAGTATAGAAATCATACTGTAATAATAATCAAGGGATTTTGTTGGGATGTTGTGCTTGTGCTGTGCATAATTATTTCTCCCCCTGCCCCACCATAAAGAAACACCTATTTTCCCAACAGATATTGGGAAACAAGTAGAGAAGATGATAGATGGGAGAAGCAGAGGAATCAAGTACTTTCTCCAGCACTCGCTTTTATTTGCCATCAACTTTTCTTTCTGTCTTCTTGCTAAAACGGGTGCCTTTGAAAATGTGGGATTGGACTTACTGGCCTGACCCACACTTACAGAGTGTCGTGCTGTCCCTTGAAAGGCAGCAACAAGGGAAAAGTCCTTCTCGGGGGTGTTTCACCCAACTGTGGAATGTTCTCCCTACTGAGGTCCACCTGGAATGAACATTGTCATTCTTTCAGTGCTGGGTTAAGATCTGGGGCACTTGACAGCATGATCTGGTTTTTACATTTGTCCTGGAATTTTTCTTGTAGAATGTTTTTAATTTTTGTGTAAGTGTTTTTTATACCATGTTTTCTACGGGGATTTTAGGATCACTTTTGCTTTGGAGTAGTGCAGAAATGTATGTCCTCCTCCTCAACCTGCCTGAAGGTTGTCTTTTGAGCCAGTGGCTTTGCCAAGAGCATCTTCTTGGCAAAGAGCATCCTCTAGGCCTTGTCTGTGTGCCCTATTATGTGGAAGATGGAGGCATGACAGAGGACAGGATTAAAATCTGGTCCTCCTGAGCCCCAACAGAAGGTGAAAGTCATCTCTTGCTGCCTTCTGCTGGGATGTAGACAGAATGGGGAGTGGGTGCTTAGTTGCACCTCTGCGAAGGTGATGTCTTCAGAGTTGGATCAAGTGTCCTCTGTCATCTTCGGCATGAACAGGTACTGTGCTCCAATGATGTGCACATGTGGTTTTATACTACTTGTGCACCATGACTTGCCGGGATCATTTTGTGATGAAGGACAGTATTATAAATTGTATAAATGCACAATGACATATATATTTGGTTTTATATTGTGTGTTGTTGTTAGTCGCGAAGTTGTGTCCGACCCATCGCGGCCCCATGGACAACATTCCTCCAGGCCTTCCTGTCCTCCACCATCCCCCAGAGTCCACTTAAGCTCACAGCAACTGCTTCAGTGACTCCATCCAGCCACCTCATCCTCTGCTGTCCCCTTCTTCTTTTGCCATCTATTGTTCGCAGCATTAGGCTCTTCTTCAGCGAGTCCTTCCTTCTCATTAGGTGGCCAAAGTATTTGAGTTCCATCTTCAGTATCTGGCCTTCTAAAGAGCAGTCAGGGTTGATCTCCTCTACGACTGACCGGTTTGATCGCCTTGCGGTCCAAGGGACTCACAGGAATCTCCTCCAGCACCACAATTCAAAAGCCTCAATTCTTTGGCACTCAGCCTTCCTTATGGTCCAACTTTCACAGCCATACATTGCAACAGGGAAAACCGTAGCCTTGACTATACGCACTTTTGTTGGCAGGGTGATGTCTCTGCTTTTTAGTATGCTGTCTAGATTTGCCATAGCTTTCCTCCCCAGGAGCAAGCATCTTTTAATTTCTTGGCTGCAGTCCCCGTCTGCGGTGATCTTGGAGCCCAGGAAAATAAAATTTGTCACTACCTCCATTTCTTCCCCATCTATTTGCCAGGAAGTGAGAAGACCGGATGCCATGATC